CAGTAATTCTAAAAACAACACCGACAGACTTGAGTAAAATTTTTTTACTGAACAATAAAACAAATTGAACACAAAACTGGAAATGAGAAGTATTACAGGAAAAAATTCTTTCTTGTGAAAATGTTGTCCTGATAAAACACCTGTCAGAGCTGTTAAAACATCATGACACTTAAAGCTGGAGTGAGGAACTTTCCATCTGTGTTGACTTTGGCGCCCCCTGTGGACAAAGTGGTAACTGTTATATCATTACTGATATCATCTCATCCTTGTCAAAGTTATCTTTTCTTTCTTTTTTTGCATTTGCCAAAATTCAACAATTTAGTGATTTGAACAAACGAGAAGCAAAGTAGCTGAACATAATTGAACAAATGACTGGAGTCAGAAAAATGTTTTAAGTAAAATTTTGCAACAAAGGAATTTTGGACATCTGTCCAGCCATCTTAAATAATAAAAGAAAGAAAGATCCCAGGTTGACATTGCAATGATTTTTTTTAAAGTAATGAATAAATCCATTATTTCATGCATATCAAAATCAAATATTCCTAGATATCTCTGTCAGTAATGCGTCTCAAAATAGATTTTTAATGAATTAAGAAAATATAATGGTGAGATCAGCCTTGCAAGGGCCGATATCAATACAACACGGTTACTAAAAAATGCCATACGTCGATCTATCTCTAGTCTTCAGGCTCCGCCCACATCCTTTAAACCATAAACCATGTTTAATTTGCTGTCCAAAGTTTATGGCCGGGAGAAGAAAGCTTATGCTAAGACTTAAAGACTTGATGTGGGTGACAATACTGACAAGTATTACAATTTTTTGTTTTACCATCTTCAGGCCAATATATTGTAGTGATTTGAAATGAGCCTCACACGGTCGCACCAAAATATATGTAGCGATTTGAAATGAGCCTCACAAGGCCGCACCAAAATAATACTTGGCGATTGGAATTTATAATAAATGTCTGAAGATTAATAATCTCAAATTATGACATTTATGCACTCGTTGAAAGGGGCACCACCCACCCTTAATGGTGGGAAAATAAAGAAAACAAAAGTTTAATTCAGAAATCAAACATCAAGTCAGTTTTAATTAATCAGTCTTAATTAATCAGCCTTAATTAATCAGTCTTAATTAATCAGTCTCATATCTTAAGTCGAAATTCTAATTTCAGGGACTCCACTTCTGGAAGAACACTAACAGACAGGAACTTAGAAAAATAATGATCTGTTTATTACAGGATAAATGATGGTACAACACACATGCAATAAATGATGATAAGATAATGAGGATAAAATAATAATAGGTGAATAAATAAAGATTCTGAGTCAGGCTAGGAGCACTAAAGTTAATGATAGTGAGTGAATATGCGCTAACATATTAACCTACACTAACTTTGGTGTCGAGATAAACTCGGGTGTAGATTTGGAGGAATCTAAGATCACCAGAAATAGGTGGATATCTGAGTTATGAACGCGTGAGACAGCATCAGCCCTGTCTGGAGCTCTGGAGGTTTGCATACTTAAGTGAGACTGGTCCTTGGAGAAGATGGAGCAGGTTCCGAAGGTCCGGGGCTACTGGCGGTTCGAGCGGTTCAGCTCAGAAGACGACTGAAGTCAGCCGAAGGATGAGCCAGGAGTTGCAGCACTCGGGCCCGAAGCAAAGCCAGCGCCTGTGGATCCTGTGGATGCTCGTTTGGGTACTTCTTTGGTCTCACTTAAAAACTCTGGCACAGAGGATGACCTGGGCCTGCTGGGTTGCGTTCAGAGGTGACTTGAAATCACGCAGATAACTCAGAAAACGAGACTCGAGCAGAGAAAACTTTCAAAAATGGCTTCGCGAAATTAAAGAAAAATCAATCAAAGGCTTAATCTTGAATTGCTATGTGCACAAAAAGTTGAAGTTTCAAAACTTGAACTAAGACGATGTTAAAGAAAAATCAACGTGAATCAACACGTGGCGTAAAACTTAGAAGACTAAGAAAAAGTTCTAAGAGAAAACAAAGAAACGCACCACAGAAGGGTGTGGACAGAAGAGAAGGGGCATAAGAGCCGGGGACAAGAGAGTCCGCAGAAGAGCAGAAGCATAAGCGGAATAAGAGACATAAGAGATAAGAGGAATAAGAGAGAATAAGCGAGTGAGCAACCCCACTTCACTGGTTTTATCTTCTCACACTGGGTGTGTCTGAGGAGAAAGAGGAGGGGTCATCGGGTCTCTGATTATTTGATCTAACTTATTCTTTTGGCTGGTAAAAGAGTCAGATCTGATACTCACTCACTATGATTAATATCATTGAATGCTTGGTTTCATGATAAATAATTTGATACTAAACACATATGAATGAAGTGTAGGATCACATCAAACATTCTCATTATGTTTTAAGTATCACATTGACCATGCTAAATTACTCTGAAATGAAACAGATAGTAACACATAGAAACTGTGAACAACAAAAGAGTAAACACATGTGAATGAACGTCATCATGATTAATAATGGATTCTAAATACTCACATTCAGATTATTCAGTGACATTATAACCACCTAATGGTTAAGATACTAAATAAATAACTAAAATATAAACCAAACATTTCTAAACTATTTCTGTTACTTAGAGTAAACTTAGGATTCATAGTCAATAAATTTAACTCTTAAAAGTTCATGAAACAGTCTGAAAAGCTGTTGGTCTAAAGAACTAAAGAATAAGGATTTATTCTGTCAGATAAGATAACTTGGCTTCTGAAGCACATAGAAAAACGGGAAACATCTCATTTTAACACAAATTTCATGATTAGACAGATTAGTACATTGCTGAATGCATAAGATGTCATGATCAGTCATTTGTATTCTTTCACCAAAGGAATGTAGTCTTTATCAGTGTATGGTCGAGCAGGGTTTTACGACCGAGGTCTGGAGGTCAGTGTCCCCCCCTTATCCTGGGGTCCGTATGTTCACACACTTTAAGACGCTAAATCTCAAATGGGAGATCTGGGTTGAGACGTTAATGTTTATTTAGATGGTCAGTAATGGAGTCAGTTTGAAAGGTAATAAAAACTCTGTCTCTGTTCGCCGAACTGACCAATCCTGAAGAGTCAGAGGTTTAGTCAACCTATGGTTGGGTCACTTATTTAACCTGAAAGTGCAAACACGTCTGGAAAGATTTATATCCTGTTTCCTGGGACCAGATAAGGAAACTTCCCTTTGAGGAATGTGTGAGTTTTACACCCAGGGTTGTCTTGATTGCTACAGTCCCCCCTTCGTCACGGTGGTCCTGTCCATGGAGCATCGGGACGACGAGTAGACAACCATGAAGCAGCAGCAGCAGCAGCAGGTGTATGCAAATAGGACTGATGCGTCTCGTCATCACTATGTGAATCACTAGTACTGCTTTGAGATAAAATTAAGCATGCATTAAGCTATCAAATAAAATAGTCTTGTTGTTAGACTTTTCTCAGTTAACTATTGGTAGACTAATGTGAAAGAAAATCTCCTAATTTTTAGTATTAATGAGATTTAGAAAAGCACTCTTTAGTCTGAATGCTAACCGGATCTAAAGCTATAGCTGTTTTTCATGCTTGCTGGAGAAGTCTGAAAGTTCAATTTCAGTTTCAAAAATGGTTAAGACTTAGGTGGAAAAGAAATGTCTGCTATAGACATATTAACCATCTGTGTATGAGCATAGTCAACCTGAATCACAAACATCAAAAGTTTACTGCACAGAGTTTCTCTTAAACTTTGTCTGTTAAACTTGGGGATGATGCTCTTATTGGTTTGACTAATTATCTGCTGTTGAGTCTGAAATTTGTCAATCTGAGTCTTAATGACAGAAATTTCAGCTTTTAATCTGTTCATGGGATATTTGACAGCTGACAAGCTGACCATATTGACAGAGGAGAGACAAATGCTAACTAGGACCCCGTTGGGGCACTGGCGGGCCCGAGCTGTGTCGCGTCCCCCCCCCAACGCGCTGCCTCCCCGTCCCATTTGTGTCCTCTGGCCATCGCCCTCTTTGGTAACGCCCATCACTGCAAAGACCCTTTTCCTTCATCGGCGTTTGCTGTTCTTCCTGCCAGTGCGTGTTGCTTTCACTTACACTTGCCACAGCCAGCCTCGTGAGTGCCTAGCCTATTGGATATCACTGTCACCTACACAGGACAGTCATTACCTTTCTATTAATACTTTGTTTTTTAATTTCACATTAATTTCCAAATTGTATAAACGACTGGAAAAAACTTGAGCCCCTGCCCCTGTATAATCATGTGCACGTCTCTGTTCTAGCTCTAAGGTAAATCTTCACTGCTCATGTTCTCCTCAGAAGCACTCACCTCACTCCCCTCAGGTTACTGTACACATGCACCAACTGCCTGCTTCAGGTTTGGATGGAGCTTCATGGTTGTCTTTTGGAGAAATGACCAGTCAAGTTGTGTTTGAAATTTGATTTTTTTCAGGGGCAAAAGGAGCCTCTGCATTCTTGTCAAATATGTAAATAGCATGTTTTTGCAGGTGCTACAAACCAGACTCTGAGTGTGTGTGTGTGCGTGTGTGTGTGTGTCTGTGTGTGTGTGTGTGTGCGTTCAAGTCACATGACATATTTAACCGGATGTAGCTGCAAGACGGAGCCTCGTTGACTCTCCGTTTCAATTTATCTCAAAAGTGAGGACCTCAACCTATATACCAGTTTTTAATTTGTGTTGATAGGCCAAATAAAACCAGAGTTATGATAAATTATGTCCGCGATACTTGTTTTCTGCTTATTTTGATCACGTTCGGCGCTCGATCGCGCTGTATGAGACAGGAAAACATAGCATGCAGACATTAGCGACAGGTCTTACAGGCGGAAAAGGCTTGCCAAAGGAAAAAAAATACACACCACAACATCTCTCCTATTGGTGGAAAACTTCACCACAACAACCAATCCAAAATTATATGGTGACTGATTGACAAGGGGCGGGAACTTACGTTCTTCCTGCAATATGAGAAGGGAGGGAGGGACTCTCAGCAGGGATGCAGTCTGGGACACGTAGTTGCAAACCTAGCGACTTTGTTGTTAGATTCAATGACTTTTCAGACCCCCTAACGACTTTTTTTTAGAAAGAAAGTGACTTTTATCGACTTCTTCTGGAGTTTAGAGACTCTGACATGAAGCAGGCTTTCCTTACTGAGGAGTTAGCAACGCTGCTAAGGGTGCAGAGCCACACATGCGCTCCGAGCTCTGCATGGGAGACTGAAGCTGACAGAGCTGCAGCAGTTAGCAGGTTTCACCCTCAGAGACCACCAGGGGTTCATGTTGAGGCATTTTCAGTTTTTTTTTTTTTTTTTTTGCCATAGACACTGTCAGCACAATCTGCAGTTACACTAACAAAAATGCTGCAAAAAACAAAGAATTATGGAAAAATTACACATGGACTAACATAGAGGAGGATCTACACAAGTTTTTTACATCATGTTTTACATCATGCATCATTTACATCATGTTTTTTTGTAGTGGCATAAATAAAAAGTGACATTTGTGAGACTATACAGTGTTTTGTAAATAATTTTACAAAGAACACCTGGGCCATTGCCTGCATTTTGATGTAAATAGAGGTAAATTACTATGTTCTTTGTTAAAAATTTGCATATGTTTTGAAGTTTACAATTTTTATTTGAAGTTTAAGTTTTAAAAACAGTTCATCACACATATTTGTGGTTTTCACAGTAAAAACGTTACTTTTTTCCACTCGGATTTTATGTTTTGTGTGTGAATTTGGGTCCAATGTGTAAATATAGTATGTCAAAATGATAAAATAACTGTAAATTGACACAGGTGAGGTTGTGCTGAAAAAAATGATACCAGGCAAGGCAAGGTAAAAATTTTGTAAGAGGAAATATAAAGGTAAAATCTAAAGTAGTCAAAAACTGCCAATAGTGACTCACAGACTCCACAGACAAGTCCCTTTGGCGCCACTCAGTGGGCAAAACTACTTTGTCTACTGTAATGTATATTTGGGTCATCTTTGGCGCCCCCTAAAACGTAAACCGTGGGGTGCAGCGTCATGATTTTTACAACTTTGAATGGCCATGGAGTGTAGATTGGCCTGAGCAAATTTGGTGTCAGTGGGACGAAAGCCTTAGGAGGAGTTAGCGAAATTCCAATGTGTGCGAATCAGCAAAAAATGCAAAATAGCCCTTTTACCGTACATTATACAGATACGCGCTCTTTGACTTTTTCGTAGATCTAATTGAGATACACATGATTGTCAATTTTTGTGTCATTTTGCCAAAGCGTATAGGCGTGACAGTCAACAATGTGTATTTTCACCTTAGGGGACAAGAAAAAATGGACTTTTTTCTCCTGCCATGGGGGGGCGCTCTTTTAGGGAGTAAAAATTCCTTCACAAATGTGTTGATGGCTGGACATTGCATCATCCTAGAAAACTTGGAGGCCAGTGAGGACAAAAATAAAAAGTTATAAGACTTTTAAAAATGTGGATTTTTGGGTTATCTTTGGCGCCCCCTAGAACCTAAACCGTGGGGTGCAGCGTCATGATTTGAATAACTTTTAATGGCCATGGGGTGTAGATTGGCCTGAGCAAATGTGGTGCCGGTGGAACGAAAGCCTTCGGAGGAGTTAGCGAAATTCCAATGTGTGCGGATCGGCAAAAAATGCGAAATAACCCTTTAACCGTACATTAGACAGATACGCGCGCATGGACTTTTTTGTAGATCTTATTGAGATACATGTGTGTGTCAATTTTTGTGTCATTTTGACAAAGCGTACAGGCGTGACAGTCAATAGTGTGAATTTTCACCTTAGGGGACAAGAAAAAATGGACTTTTTTCTCCTGCCATGGGGGGGCGCTCTTTTGGGGAGTAAAAATTCCTTCACAAATGTGTTGATGGCTGGACATTGCATCATCCTAGAAAACTTGGAGGCCAGTGAGGGCAAAAATAAAAAGTTATAAGACTTTTAAATATGTGGATTTTAGGGTTATCTTTGGCGCCCCCTAGAACCTAAACCGTGGGGTGCAGCGTCATGATTTGAATAACTTTTAATGGCCATGGGGTGTAGATTGGCCTGAGCAAATGTGGTGCCGGTGGAACGAAAGCCTTCGGAGGAGTTAGCGAAATTCCAATGTGTGCGGATCGGCAAAAAATGCGAAATAGCCCTTTAACCGTACATTTGACAGATACGCCCGCACTGACTTTTTTGTAGATCTTATTGAGATACATGTGTGTGTCAATTTTTGTGTCATTTTGACAAAGCGTACAGGCGTGACAGTCAATAGTGTGAATTTTCACCTTAGGGGGCGCTATGGAGCCATTTTGCATTTTCTTGTTTGGGCGACTTCGGAATATCAAATTTTTCACCAGGCCCGGTCGTCCTGCCAAATTTCATGAGTTTTCGCCAGTGGGAAGTGGGCCATTTTCCAGTTCAAAGGGGAGGAAAAAGAAAAAAGAAACAAAGAAAAACCACTTGGGGAATAATAGGGCTCTCGCAGCTGCTTAGCAGCTACGCTCGGGCCCTAACAAAGAAAGCAGCAACTGGTATTGCAGTCATCAATGTATCACCACAGCATTTGGATATCTTATTGGAGTCATTTAGCTTTGGCTAGGTGACTTCTGCTTTCGCAGGACTCACACCTTCATGACTCCACAGTGTTAATCTCAGTGGTTAACTGAGTAGTCATGTTTATTCACCTTCAAAGTGGATGAAACCGATTGAGGTGGATAATAAGATCGTTGTTTCTGAGAGTGTAATTTACTCTGATTCTGCCAGTCATTCACCCCCCTTTGGCGGTGTTGATGGTTTTTCCTTTGTCTGGGATAAAACCCACCATGACTGGAGTCTGAATAACAACAGTTGGTCTCAAAGTTTACCTGGCATTGGTCTGTGTCAGACCTGGGCCTTGGTATGTAACTTTGACCTTTGTGAGTTTGTTGAGGTCGAAAAGGTTTTGGAGGCCTGGTTAACCACTCATTTGGAGGCTTATCGGAGCCTGAAAATACACAATCTGAAGCTTCGTTCAGCTCCATGGGCAGTGATTTTGTCTCCATAGCCAACAGAGTAACAGGCTCTGCTTTCTTAGCCAAAGTTTGTCGTTGTTTGGCAAAACCTTTTACAGCAAGTTCACGAAGCTGTCGGCTAGTCAAAGTGTTTGGACAAGCTAAGACGCCAAGGTGATGACTGGTGGTAGGGTGGAGGTTCTGGACGAACAGCGTTTTGAAGTTCAAGTCCTCCTCCATTTCTGGTTCATTTCGGAAACCAAAGTAAGCTTCGCGTAAGCGGTTGTAATAATGTTGGGGAGGTTCTGATCTCCCTTGTTTAATAGACAGAGCAGCAGAAAGGCCTGTCTGGGTCAAATGATCAGAAAACTCTTCAATTAATGCTTGGCAGAGCAAGTCATAATTATTTCTGACATGATAAGGCTGTCGTTCAAGGAAACTGCTAACCTCTCGACTTGACGTTGCCTTAATAAGGTAGATCTTGTCATCAATGGTTGCACCTGGAAATTTCCTCAGGTAAAAGTCAATGTCTTTCAAGTAGGTGCAGGTGTCAGTAGCACCTTGGTGCTCAGGTTCAAAGCGTGCTATGTTGCGAGCAATTTTGTCAAGATCCCTATCTGAGGGAAATGGTAAGAAACCATCATGAGGAGGAGAGTAGGACTTTTGGCTTAAGGATGACCTCTCAGGGTCAAGCAGGGTCCTGTCATGATGCTGAGAGAGATACTTAAGAGTTGGTTTGGAAGGAAGTGATGGCGCTCTCTCAGGAGGCTGATCATATATCATTTCTTCGAGAAAAGTTTGCTTCATGCGTTCTCTTTGGGCTCGACCTGACTGGAGGGAGCATCGTAACTCTCTTTGGGCATCTTCAAGTTCTTTATCTGTCTTTTCTTGCCGTTCTTGACAAAGAATTAACTGTCTTTGAGCTATCTGGAGCTGGTGCTGTAAGGTAGAAGTTTGCTTCTCCTTAACTTCAAGAGCTTCAGCACGCACTTTGACCAGTGCTTTCAAAGTTTTTGCATCTTCTGTTGCTTGCTCTAGTAGGGATTCTGACTGTATCAGATCCTCTGTGGTCTTAGCAAGCTGCTTATTCGTGTCATCAAGTTCTTTCTCCTTTTTGTAAAGGGTTTCATTAAGTCCTTCAATCTTGTCTTTAAGATCAAGATTTTCTTCATGACTTATCAGTGAGGGAAGCTTTGACGCTTCACATCTGACACTGTGTTTTCCTAAAACACTTAGAGACTTCTTAGTCTCTTCTAGCGTCTTTTTCAGAGCGCTGTTTTCGTCTTTTTGCGCCTTTATCTTTGCTAAAGCGCATTCCAGCAAGTAGTCTTTATACTCAAGCTGAGAAGACATCATGACAGACATGCATCTAGTGAGCTCTTTGTCACGAAGTATCGTGGTTAAGGCTGTTTCCAGTAAGTCAGCCATTTCATCCTCCGGATTGGAGGGTTTGGCCTTTTGAATCTTAGTCATGTACTGAGGTATCAGCTGACTCATTAAGTTTGCTAACACTGTGGGTATGTCCCTCAGGGGGTCTCCCTGGCTGGACTCTTTTGTGTTAGGCATGTTTGGTTTTGGTAAAGAGGTGCAGCTGGTTGGTTGATGAGTTTGAGTTGACTTAAAATGAAAGGAAGAAGCACAATATCAAATTAAGTGGGTTAATCGACTTAATTTATCAGTGCTTGATAAAGAGGAAGAGCCTATCTGAGTAGATATCTAATGGAGAGAAAAATAACATAAAGTTAACTTCATTTCAATGAAAATTGAAAGAAAAACAAGGTGAAATAATGTTAAATTAAATTTAACATCAGATACAGAACCATTGAATAAAGGGTTCAATTTGTCTCCGTGTTGCAGAGATCAGCAAAGCTTAAATGAACTGCCTGGTGCAGTTGGATGAATTGGGAAAAATCGATGAAATTGTCAATTTAAGGAATTAACTCTGAAATTAATTCACCAATCGCAATAAAGCTAAAGATTCAACTACCCAATTCATCTGAAATGGTAAAATAAATTTCAAATATTAATTAATTTGTTCATTAATTAATTAATCTTATGAGGAGGGTTAATACATTCATGTATTATAGGGAACAGTAAAACTGCTCACTGGTGTGATAAGTAACAACAAGATCAGGTGATTGATTCAATGAGTTACTTTATCAATACATCATGGAGGCTCTTATAACAAAGATAAAAATCAAAATCAATGATCAATGATTTAGAATAAGCACATCAAACTTCATCAACCAAGTCAATCACTTGAGTTATGTCTGTAGAGTGTTACACACTGACTACAGGGAGGCAGTACAGCTGGCTGATACTGCAGGCAGATAACATTGTTAGCTCAATACCAAAAGCAACCATGTGGGGCAGTATGGAGTTGGGGTAACTGCACAAGCTCAACACAAGTGGAGAAGAAGAAGAAAAGAGGAAACAGTCATCCAACTAGCCTCTTGTGGCTGTGAGGAGTTGGGAAGTGTGCAGGAAGGGGCCTTTAGGCTCTGCCTCCTTGAAGGGCCTTATCTACTTAAGGCCAAATGGTCAATCTCTCCACTGACAACAAAGGGTTAACATTTCACAGCAGCTGTGTCTGCACCCTCAAACATAGAACTTTACACCATCTGCTCAGGCAGATTGGTTCAATAAAATCATTTACAGGAACAAGAATCAAAGTGACAAATTCTTAAACAGCAGATTCAACTGCAGACTTTAAAATCACAAATGCGGCGATTTGTGATCACAAATTTTGTCTTAATTCAATCAAACAACAACCTCCCACTGTTACAGTGGTTTCCTGTGACAGGTAGTTAATCTGTCAGGGGAAAGGAGGAAATCTGAATCCCATATAGTTACTAGAACTTCGTAGCAGACTATAGAGACAAGAATCAAAGTGACAAATCCCTCAACAGCAGATTCAACTGCAGACTTTAAAATCACAAATGCGGCGATTTGTGAACACACATTTTGTCTGAATTCAATCAAACAACAACCTCCCACTGTTACAGTGGTTTCCTGTGACAGGTAGCTAATCTGTCAGGGGAAAGGAGGAAATCTGAATCCCATATAGTTACTAGAACCTCGTAGCAGACTACAGAGACTTCAGGGGCTTGAAACCACAGCTCGGAGCATCGCGAACACTGGGTTCAGCCAAAGGCCTTAAATACAAGCGTACGGCGACGCAACAATCGTGCACTTAAATATTGGACAGTCTAGACAGAGCAGAAGAAGCAGTCTCACTGCTACTCAGAACAACATTTCACGCTGTCCAGCTCAAACACAGACTACAGGCATGTAGTACAAAAGTGTGTGAAACACAGAGCATAAAGGTTTTATGCATAGATCAGGAAAACATCAGAACTTAGTCAAGCAACTTCAGCAAGCATAGCATTTATTGTGATTAAGTCTAGGATAGCCTGGGAATAAGTTTCTCTCATCAATTTGGAAGGCTAAGTTTTAGGTTGTCTGTTAGTATCCAGAAGTTTTGTTTGAAACGCCTCACGCAGGGGCACCAAAATATATGTAGTGATTTGAAATGAGCCTCACACGGTCGCACCAAAATATATGTAGCGATTTGAAATGAGCCTCACAAGGCCGCACCAAAATAATACTTGGCGATTGGAATTTATAATAAATGTCTGAAGATTAATAATCTCAAATTATGACATTTATGCACTCGTTGAAAGGGGCACCACCCACCCTTAATGGTGGGAAAATAAAGAAAACAAAAGTTTAATTCAGAAATCAAACATCAAGTCAGTTTTAATTAATCAGTCTTAATTAATCAGCCTTAATTAATCAGTCTTAATTAATCAGTCTCATATCTTAAGTCGAAATTCTAATTTCAGGGACTCCACTTCTGGAAGAACACTAACAGACAGGAACTTAGAAAAATAATGATCTGTTTATTACAGGATAAATGATGGTACAACACACATGCAATAAATGATGATAAGATAATGAGGATAAAATAATAATAGGTGAATAAATAAAGATTCTGAGTCAGGCTAGGAGCACTAAAGTTAATGATAGTGAGTGAATATGCGCTAACATATTAACCTACACTAACTTTGGTGTCGAGATAAACTCGGGTGTAGATTTGGAGGAATCTAAGATCACCAGAAATAGGTGGATATCTGAGTTATGAACGCGTGAGACAGCATCAGCCCTGTCTGGAGCTCTGGAGGTTTGCATACTTAAGTGAGACTGGTCCTTGGAGAAGATGGAGCAGGTTCCGAAGGTCCGGGGCTACTGGCGGTTCGAGCGGTTCAGCTCAGAAGACGACTGAAGTCAGCCGAAGGATGAGCCAGGAGTTGCAGCACTCGGGCCCGAAGCAAAGCCAGCGCCTGTGGATCCTGTGGATGCTCGTTTGGGTACTTCTTTGGTCTCACTTAAAAACTCTGGCACAGAGGATGACCTGGGCCTGCTGGGTTGCGTTCAGAGGTGACTTGAAATCACGCAGATAACTCAGAAAACGAGACTCGAGCAGAGAAAACTTTCAAAAATGGCTTCGCGAAATTAAAGAAAAATCAATCAAAGGCTTAATCTTGAATTGCTATGTGCACAAAAAGTTGAAGTTTCAAAACTTGAACTAAGACGATGTTAAAGAAAAATCAACGTGAATCAACACGTGGCGTAAAACTTAGAAGACTAAGAAAAAGTTCTAAGAGAAAACAAAGAAACGCACCACAGAAGGGTGTGGACAGAAGAGAAGGGGCATAAGAGCCGGGGACAAGAGAGTCCGCAGAAGAGCAGAAGCATAAGCGGAATAAGAGACATAAGAGATAAGAGGAATAAGAGAGAATAAGCGAGTGAGCAACCCCACTTCACTGGTTTTATCTTCTCACACTGGGTGTGTCTGAGGAGAAAGAGGAGGGGTCATCGGGTCTCTGATTATTTGATCTAACTTATTCTTTTGGCTGGTAAAAGAGTCAGATCTGATACTCACTCACTATGATTAATATCATTGAATGCTTGGTTTCATGATAAATAATTTGATACTAAACACATATGAATGAAGTGTAGGATCACATCAAACATTCTCATTATGTTTTAAGTATCACATTGACCATGCTAAATTACTCTGAAATGAAACAGATAGTAACACATAGAAACTGTGAACAACAAAAGAGTAAACACATGTGAATGAACGTCATCATGATTAATAATGGATTCTAAATACTCACATTCAGATTATTCAGTGACATTATAACCACCTAATGGTTAAGATACTAAATAAATAACTAAAATATAAACCAAACATTTCTAAACTATTTCTGTTACTTAGAGTAAACTTAGGATTCATAGTCAATAAATTTAACTCTTAAAAGTTCATGAAACAGTCTGAAAAGCTGTTGGTCTAAAGAACTAAAGAATAAGGATTTATTCTGTCAGATAAGATAACTTGGCTTCTGAAGCACATAGAAAAACGGGAAACATCTCATTTTAACACAAATTTCATGATTAGACAGATTAGTACATTGCTGAATGCATAAGATGTCATGATCAGTCATTTGTATTCTTTCACCAAAGGAATGCAGTCTTTATCAGTGTATGGTCGAGCAGGGTTTTACGACCGAGGTCTGGAGGTCAGTGTCCCCCCTTATCCTGGGGTCCGTATGTTCACACACTTTAAGACGCTAAATCTCAAATGGGAGATCTGGGTTGAGACGTTAATGTTTATTTAGATGGTCAGTAATGGAGTCAGTTTGAAAGGTAATAAAAACTCTGTCTCTGTTCGCCGAACTGACCAATCCTGAAGAGTCAGAGGTTTAGTCAACCTATGGTTGGGTCACTTATTTAACCTGAAAGTGCAAACACGTCTGGAAAGATTTATATCCTGTTTCCTGGGACCAGATAAGGAAACTTCCCTTTGAGGAATGTGTGAGTTTTACACCCAGGGTTGTCTTGATTGCTACAATATGATAGAGAACAAATGTTTTCAGGGACTGCAGTTTTTCAGACTCCACTCCAAACCAGCTGCACCAAAATGTTATTTGCAAAGTGCCATCAAGAAGAAGAAGAAGGGCCACCTTTTTACTCCAGAGTCAATAATTCCCATAACAGTGGCATTCATATGGCCCCAAAAACATTTGAAATCAAACTAAGAGTGTTATAGTTAGTGTTCACCTTGAGTCCACATTAAAATAAACATACGGTATCAAAAAAGAGAGAAGAGCACCATGTTCACCATGTTTAGCTGTTAGCCATCTTAGCTGGTGTAATACTTTTTGCTAATAAGTCCGAGGGAGCTATATTTGTGTGTGTGTGTGTGTGTGTGTGTGTGTGTGTGTGTGTGTGTGTGTGTGCGTGCGTGCGTGCGTGCGCGTGTGTGTGACAGCGTTATCTCTTCCTCATTCAAGTCATGTCACAGGCCAGACACCATTGTCAGGAGAGGCTTTCATCGGCTGAGTTCAGATGTGCCTGTCATCCAGTCCAATTATACAGAGAGAAATAGGTATTGTTACACTCTGGGGATTGATTCAAGACAAAATAGAAAACTGAAGATAAGACTACACACTCATCTATGGCCACGCAGCCCTCTCTCGCACGCACAGATGTGAAATCACATGGACGAGCAACTTCAATAACTCGCAGAGAACAAATCCTTACAAGCTAACGTGGCCTCACTTCTGAAAGAGTCTGGCAGGTGGGTTACAGTAATTTAAAAAAGTGGAGGATCGAGTGCTTCACCTCCGCCCCGGCTGCACTGTCAGGGCGATAGACTGGCTTTTTATGGAGATAACTCCTGGCTGATGGAGCAGCTGAGCAACGCCGGGCTTAAGACGACTTCAACCTGCTGCTGAGAGGCATTCAGAGCCACTCAAGCATCAGTCTGCTGCGCTGACATGAGCAGCCTCTTTTCAGCTTTTCTGAATTTTTCCCTCACTGCTCTTTTTGCTCTTCTTCGTCTCCTCTCTCCAACAAAAAAACCCAGAAAAAATGTCAAGAAGCACCACTTACCTACAACCACTCAGGGGGAACAGCTCCAATTTATTTAATACCAGCCTGCCATTGCACTCAGATCATGTTTGGCTGCCATGTTAGTCATTGTTAGCCTTTCAGACAGGGTAGAGAGCAGATACAGAACACAGGAGTGTTGAGATATCCAGGACTTGTTGAAAAGTTTGCCAGGACTCTTCTCAGCTCTGTATGTGCTGTATTTTAAGGATGTAGAATGACAACAAAGGGGGAGAAAAAAGATCAACTCTTCTTTCTTTTGTCAAACTCTGTTTACCTCATCAGTCATTTCATTAACTTTGTCAGGTGTACCCTTGTTTGTACACCAGAGCAGTGACAGCTCAAGATGGCAGACGTCTCGGTTCGAACAATCCCCTTATGTGAAGTCGACCCGGCGTCTTCTGTGTCCTCACTGCAGAAACTGATTCATTGATGTGGAACGCAGTTTCTGAGATGCTGGAGGGCACGGAGAAAAGGGATTTGCTCTTCAGATAAGTCTTTTCCCCGTGTCAAGTCGTGCCAGGCCACAAAAGAAGATTTAAACTCTTATATGTACACTTTTAAACGAACTTAATACACACACGCACATAAGCACACACACCTGTTTTCTTGCAATCAATCTCCCGAGTCCCCCTAAGTTGCTGTGAAAGTGATAAATTCAGCCATTTAATATCCATAATTAATAATTCATTACTCACGGAGTACCACAGATTTCGATTAGGTAGTATTTTATCTGGCTAATAGTTGTTCCCTTGGAGGTCATTCTGGGTGTTTTTCATTATTGCTTCTTGAGTTTATGCTCAGCACAGCGAAGCAATAACTAAGACCTTCTGCAACTGTATGACTGGAACTGGGAGAAAATGTTAGAAACTCTGGAGAGATACTCGAGGATCCCTGACTCTTCTTTCATTTCCTCACTGCTGTCGGAGCGTATTTCTCTCCAAGTAATCTGCTGAGCATCGCCTTACGATTATAGATGACCAAAATTGTGATTTATTAATGGAGGTCCAGGTTTCATTTGTGTTACAAACATTTTGTTTTTGACGGTTTTGTCTGTGTGATTCAATTATAAAGGCTGCTTTACAGGATTGATAAGACATAAGTAGGTTGCAGTTCAGTTTTTGTGTATTCAGTAGAGTTGCTAGTGTCAACACATTAATTAGGATGGGATTATGGTCCAAAATTAATGCATTTAGAGTACTAAAGACGCCACAGTGTGATGGAAAATACTGGCACCACTGCATCTCTAATGGTACATTTTACTGTCAGAAGCTTACAGACAGCTCAGCATGAGAAATCAAAGATAATGTGCACTTAGTGTCAAACAGATGTATATGATCACCAAAGTGCTTCCAGTGTGCAGGCCAGTCAACATAAGTGAAGACTGCGTCCCAGGAGGGCAGTCATGCAGTGTGGAGCCAGAGGTACAGAAGTTTCAAGCATGCAGGACATGAATAAACCAGAGAAAGCAAACTGGAACTCCTGAGAAGAGCAAATGCTTGTGCATTAACTAGGGATCAGTGGACATCATTAAAATGATCTTGGTATAACTGCACAGCATGTTGACAACCCTAACCCTGACTGGATGTAACATTCCTTTGCTGAAGCACATAAAAGCTGACTCTTACCTTTAAAGCTAACACAGGTATTAAGGTCCTTACACACCAGGAACGACGCAAATATACGACGCGAAATAATGAAATATTCGGAGGCGAATTTTGACGCGCCTGGCTATACACATCAAGTGCAATGCAATTTTGCGACTTTCCGGGGGGAAAAAAATGCGTCCTGGGTGGAAGCGATAAGACTGACACAACAGCAGACTGACTGTTTTCAGTTCTGATTAGACGCTAGTGTTGAGATGGCTGTCTGTCATGAGTACGGGGCCAGTAGCAGATAAGCACATTAAACTATAATCCATAAACGTAAGGTAACAACCGAGACCTAATGGTGCTGTGACAGAAACGCGATTGAGTTTGAGACAGTGAAAATACATATGATATGTTGTATCTGAGCAGGTTAGCTTACGAGCTAAAGTTACTTAGCACAGATGAAAGTTGAAACAAAGACGTTTAGCAAACTGTTAAAGCACACAAACCATCGTCATATGAGAAATCCGACGCTATGACTCTCCACAAGTTGTCCTTCAGGTTGTTATCTTTGTAATATTTGTGTCTTTTATCAAAAAGCACTCTGTTCTCTGACACGTAAACAATCAGCCGGTCGGCCATGTTGGATATACCGGTGAATCTGACGTCGCAACAACATGAAATCTGATTGGTCAGAAGTGGACACACAGTATGCGAAACTTTAGAAAATTCAACTGTGATACGAAAAAATAAATGCTGCAATATCGCAGGACGGGAAAACGTTGCTGATGTGAACGCTTGTATTGACAGGATACAGGCTCGAAAAAAAATATTGACGTCTGAAATAATTGCACAAAAAAACGCTCCCGGTATGTAAGGACCTTTAGGCATGATGACATTCGATTTGTCAGTATTGTCCCTGTATTGTTTTTGTCCTTGGGTGTCATGAATAGATATTGATATTAATTTTACATATGCAAAAAATTCCTGTAGTAGCTTTAAGTCAT